GCTCGTGGAGGGTAAAGCTACCACGGGTGTTTGTAAGGGGGCCCCTGCTGGAGAGCCGGCCGGCGAGTGAATGCCACCCAGGAAGCGTTGCGCGCGTGCGCGATCTGTGTGGCCCATCGGTAATTCTCGACCACCGGGATGACCCGAGTGCGAACGAAAGTTAACGACTATTGCCGAGTGTTACCGATTGTAACGTGTGCATGACCACCCGGTAGAGCGCGCGCGTGCCGCATCCTGTGTGGTCCTCAGCCTTGTGCCGGAGCACCTCGGGCATTCCGGGCACCCAAGAGCCGGCTCTCCTGCAACTCCGCTTCCTTTCGGTTTCCCTTCGCTCCCTTCGCGTCGGTTCATTTCTTCGCCATTTCTTTTTTTTTCCCTCACTTTTTTTACACATTCCTTTTTCATCTGTGTCTCTCCATACTTTTGCCACTACCACGTGCTAACTTACGAGCTCCCTCGTACTTTCTTCTCCGTTTATACCACTTCTTTTTTTTTTCTTGGGAGAGGGGGGGGATTTTTTTTCTTTTATTACACAGAGTAGGATTAATAAGCTCGGTAAAATGGCGCGATTTGCATGATTACACGTATCACTTCCTTGATTTTTTTTTTTCAGCGCTTGCATTTTCAACCGTGTGGACACGGCAGATACTTTTGCACACAAGTTTGGGGGAGGGGGTTGAATAAAATAAGGAGGTTAAAAAAAATATTGTTAAGAGAAACGAGCTGAGGCGTGTGAGACTGCGGAACGAGAGGCTCGCGCGATGATTGGCCCGGGCCATAAACTGTATTTTCGCGTGTAAAATGTAAATGGCTCCTCGTGCCGCTGAGTGAACGGAGTTCAAAGAGCCGCCAGTTGTTAAAGAGCCTACTCGATCTCTCGTTGGAACGATCCTATCTCTTTCTCTCTCATCATCCTCACATACACGTACACCGTTATAGATTTTTTTTCCCCCCGGAGGAAAGGAATCGGGCACTTTTCGTGTGGTTAAGATCCTCAAAATTACAAAAAAAAAAGCAAGGAAAGAGATAATAGAAGAGAGAAGAATCGTCCCATCTCGCTTGCACTTTCTTCCACCTGAGAACAGAGAGGACAGAATGGGCACGCATCGAGTCAAAATCTATTTCATATATTTCAAACCTTTTCTAGACCTTTCACAATATTTGGAGGGTCTCGGCATGTGGTTATGGAAAAGATGGGACTGAAAAGCTGCCGACGAGGCATCCTCTTCTCTCTCGCCTCGCCGACCGGTGTCTCCGACGATTTGGAGAGATGGTAGTCTCTTTGGTCCACGGGTGATGGATGATAGGAAGCCAGAAACTACAGAAGGGTATTCACTGGGCTTACTCCAACGATCCTTTACCATCCACAGCATGTCCCTGTCGATTTGCCCTCAAAAAACCGATCTAACCTCTAAATATTTATTATCTTCGCGTTCCAACCTCAAAGGTTAATTGCCCGCGTTTTATTCCTTTTTTACGTGATGAATTGCTTTTCTACTACTAGATAATTCGAGCTATTCATTGTTTATCAGCGAAGACAAGGCCTTTTGTTAACGGTTTTATAATTGTTGGAATTTCAAACTGGACGGCAAAAAATTTGTAATAACATTTTACCTGATGTTTAGTAATCACATGGCGTATTGCCTGTAAGGGAATTTCTACTAGGATATCAGGGTAAATAATTCAAAGTAAATAATGAAAATCAATTCAATCGTGGCCCTGAATATTCTCTTCAATGCACTAATCGAGGCATACCATCAAATTGTCTGTGTGATTTATTATTGAAAAATTCAAAAATATAAATCAGGGCTATAAATAAAGAATAATAAAGAAGACGATAAGGAAATATAGTTGGAATTAATACAACCGTGTAATAATGTCCCTAATCAAAGCGTCATACGAGAAATTCAATGAATCATCAAAATTCCAATACACCCCCACAGAAATTCCAATGAAAAACGGACATGCAATTCATTTAAACGTTTTACCCGGATATGAAATGTATTTACTATATTAATATTACGAAATCATAAGAAGGAATTCAGTTATGTCTGATGATGTGCTGTGGCCTGACAACTTTGATGAAAGCTGGGGATTGGAGACAGGGAATTTGCAGTTGTCGTGGGCATCCGGATGGTATGAACTTGGCGAAAGTAATGGGAATCAATGGGATGGTAACTTACAAAGGCTTTGGCGCCCAAGTGCCCGTTAAAGAGCCATACCTGGAGAGGATACACACCGAGGTGAGCATCTCCTCTCCCTCTTCATCCTCTCTCATACCAACTTCGTGCAGGTATATAAATTCTGGTGCTATTATTGGGGTTCGTGCCTTCTCAGGACCCCTCTTTTGGAGCCCTCCAACCACCCCACCCTCCCCTCCTTCCTCCCTTTCGATGCCCTTGCTGTTTGCTACCTTCCTCCCTCTTCCACCATCTCAATGTCGGCATCTTTGTGATGCCCGCACTTTCCGCCAGTTTTGCCTTTCTCTGTCTCCAGCCACTTCCCACCGTCCTGTTGCTTCCAGTTGATGCTGGGATTTTTATAAAACCGCGGTACCCGGTCACTACCGCTCGACGAAGTACTTTTTATTTGGCGAATTTACCAAGATATTGTCAGGATTAGTTATCAATACTCTTGCGGGCTTACATGTCGAAATATTACTTGTCACAATATTACCCGATAAAATATTTATCGGTATAGCATTATAACTAATCAATATTATTTGCGAAATTATTGGTGACCAAAATCTTAACATATATCTCGGAATATAATTTTCGAAAATATTCCATTGAAATATCAGACGAGATAAAATTTTAAACAATTAAAAGAGATGCTATTAAAAAATGTAAAATGAATCGTCTCACAGTAATAAAATTGTAGCGAGTTATTCACTTGGACGTAGACTATTTTATTTCAACATGTATCTAGGGCTTAAGAAATAATTGTTTCAATAACGCAAACATTCTTGGATCATCTTTTAAATGATATATCAATTGCAGTATTACCGACAAATACTTGAAAGTATTTAAAAATTCAATTATTGCATGCGAGTCCTAGTGGAATCGCGAGAAGATAAGCGCAATCAATCGCTTCAGCTCCAAATATCGCGGGGGGATGTGTTATGGGACGGACATGATTTTGGGGATGAATTAATGGGCAGTGCTCAAAATGTTAGAGGATTAAATAAAAATCCACTCCAAAAGGCATAATTGGATTCAGAAACTAATAAATAATGAGTTTTATACGTTGTTAAACAGATGCAGTAAAAAAGTTATTAGCGTAATATTTTAACCATCTATTAACCCATCCCCTTCCCAAAACCCATCTCTCCTCGGTAATCCCTTATTTAATTTCATTCCATAACTTCATTCATTTGCTAAAAACCTACAAATTTCCTTATACGCGTAATCAGAATTTTTTTCTCGGTATTGAAAGATTCTAATATTTTTTTGGATTATTACAAAAAAATCGAATTTTTCCTACAACGTCAGGCTAAATTTTCATATTGTCTCAATGCTTAAGGAACAATAAACAATAATGAAGTCCTGAACTTGTGTAAAATTTTTAAATTTAGAAAATACGAAAATTTATTCTGGCTACATTCTAGTGTTCAGGGATCTTTCCAGGGTTTCAATACTGTTTGATTTCCTCTCAAATTTTGAAATGCCAGCGGTATTCTGTGCCCAAATGATAAATATTTGAGACCGCCATTATGAATTGGTAGGTTAAACCAGAAAACCCGGAGAACCTATTTTCGGTTAAATTTTAGTCACTGGTTTGTGGGGATCCAGCACTGTTTACTCTACCTCCCCTCATCTAAATTCACGAGACTAATGACAAATATTTGAAATGTCAATCCTGAACATCACCGTTTACAACAAGAATGGCAAAATTTTTAAATAAATCCTAATGTATTCCCCGAAAACTATCGGAAGGGCGTAGCACTATTTGCCATATCCCTCATTGTTATTCGCCAAATTGGCAAGAAATTACGAATGCCAATATCAAATATTGAATATCCATTACGACTTTCTCATCCTCGAGATAAGACAAATGGCAAAATTTATCTCAACTGATCCTTCATTTATTTATCCTCCAATATCCGGCGTTCACAATTTAAAAATAATTACCCATGTAGCCCCGGAATAACGTTATATATAACAACTAAGTGCAAATTGGTTTAACATATTGTAATACGCAATTTGCATGCAAAAAAAAAACAGGCGCATTAAATCTTAACCTGATAATTCACTCTATCCTCTTCGCACAAATGTATCCGAAGGATACACACATACACCAAATGGTTTACAAGGTGTGCAACATTGTATCATCTCCCGGCGTCTGTTATTGAAACTGACTCGTACGATAATTTGCATATTGTATACGACCTGAAACGACCAATTCAACCGTTGCACGATTATGTATGATCCAAGAATCGATTCTACCTCATGTAGAGTTGGCTTGAATGTTACCGCCTTCACTTCTTCAAATGGGTACTTCATCGTACTTATATATATTGCCCCTTTCGCATCTTATTATCATTCAACGATCGTTATACACCGAATCAATGGTAATTCAATTGATACCAACTATTGGGCATAGAGAAATCATTACCGTCACGATAAAGATTGTTTTTTTTTTCCATTATCGAGCTGTGGAGATGAAATTGTCTGATAAATTGTCATATCGAGTGTTAAGATCGGTACGAGGTTTTTTTCTTTTTACGTCAACGACCTGCGTAGCTGTCGACAGTTTGACAGTTGATCAACTCCTGCGGGGGTATCTTATCTTCTGGGGAAGAAAGGTGGGAGTGAGGAAGCTTGTCGAAAATTGAAAAGAATCTGGTATCAGTTGTTGTGCGAACATCACGGTGTCTGATGCGGTTAGTCGGCGAGACATTTCATTAAGTGATTGTCAATCTTTTTAGGGAAAGGAAGGGGGGGGGGGGGAGAAAGGTGAAATTGATTATCTGGATGTCTGTTGATGGATAAATATATTTTAGACGGTTTCAATGTCGAAGGTTCAAGGAATAGGTAATTTATGCCTTAGAAACATCAGAGGTTCACCGAATAACATATAGCCCTGGGATAATGTATAGAGATTCAAGAAGATTAGATTAGCAGCTTCAAGGAAAGAAGTGAATCTTCTTCGAAGAGTGCCCAATCGTTCTCCAAGTTATCCGTGATTGCTTCAATCACAATGAGTTATAAATTGGTGCGAGTTATCGCTGGATTTTTAACAGTTCGCAATCAGAGGTGATGGAGTGCTTTAATGAGGTCGAGGAATATTCGGTAGAGACGGAAAAATAAAAATGCTTTTTAAAAATAATTCAGGTGGAAGGGAGAGCTTTTGGAAAGTCTGCGCAGACTTGAATATTCAGGAAAGGGGTAATTCTGATGAAAATGGAGGAAACCGGATTTCAAATGAACGAAATGCTCGGTGATTTCGAAGAAGGAAATTAATGTTCCTAAAGGGGTAATAGAATCCTCTTAAAAATACTCTCTCCTTCCGTAAAATCAAAGATTTTTTTGTAACGGAAGCCTAAGGATGTTCTAAGAACAGTACTAGAAACTATTGAACGTAACATTAACATAAGGGGAGTGGATATCTAAAACCGGTGATTCGATGAATGTGAAAAAAATTTGACGTTTTGACAAACTGCAAGTCGTTGAGAAATATTGCTAAAGCGATGAATCTCATCAGACGACAGACTACCCCAAATAAATAATGCCCTACGGCACTCTGAAGGCATAATCTCCACACGGCCTAACAAATTCAAATGAATCAAAGACAATTCCCGTAAAATGATAGTTGATAATACCAAAGATGTGACATGTGACAGTGACATGGGCTTGGAGAAAGAACTCTAGAAAAATTAAAGAGGTGCTCCCTCGGAGATCATAACAAATGACTCATTAAAAGAATTGGCCCGTCCACCTCTCGGACCAATCATCCACAATCAAGAGGCTGGTAATGAGCCCCCAGAAGCTTCCCAACCCCATCACCCTCTTGACCACCATGTGCAATCATCACCAATCAAGCACCATCTAATCAGTCCCCCCTGATTTTCCCCGTGAGACAAATCCGGGGTTGAAATCCCCCGAAAAGCCCCGAGCGCACTATCACCTTGGAATCCCTGGCAGTCCTCGGCCACCTGTTCCTCACTTTTTACCTGGGGTCCATCGGCGATCCATCGCCACGCCCTCGAACCAATCAACTCTCGCCCTCGGGCCTGACGTCATCGATATCCAACCGGTAGGGTACTGAACCTAGGGTAGGGGAACATCGGCCAAGACCTGCTTGCAGTGCAGCATTAAACGGGGACCACGAGGCGGGTGAATTTCAAGACCCCAAGAAGTGGGGGATACCAACAATCTCCATCTCACTCACTCACCTAGGACCCAGTGGTCACCACCACGGGATAAACTTGGCCTGCTGCAAGTGTGAGTTACACCGAAACCTCGAGAGAGTCGTTCCTCTTTGACTCCTTGTAATTTTCATTCGTACGCCAAAAAGACGACGTAACAGTGTCCACTGTCCAGCGATACGTCAACTCCTGGTATCTTACCCATTCGATATCGGTCAAACCATAAAACCATAAAATCATAAAATCATAAAATTATAAAATCATAAAATCATAAAATCAGAAAACCGGTCAAGTGTCACCCGTTGTCATCCGTTATATGATAAGAAAATTAATAGTCATTGATTTGAAATCTTGTGTCATGTTTTTAAAGTGAACGCGACGAAAGTGGGAAAAGGTAGTTTGATGATACGGGAGTGATTGATTCTGTCAATGATATTGATTGTCCATGTTGCGGGGGGTGGCTAGGGGATTGGGGTGGCTGGAATAAGTGAAGTTATTCTCGAGTGATAACCACCAGGGTGTGATGCCCTGGTTATGGTTAAAAGTGAGTGAGGCTAGTGGAAAGAGGTGGTGGTGGTATTATCGTCGCAACCCAGTGGGATTGATTGGTTTGATAGAACCCACGTGATATTATGGTGGAATTAGGTGGTAAAACGAGATTGGTCTCGTACCTACAAAAAATACGTAACAATGATAATTATCAAAGATGTAGAACTAGAAGAAGATATCCACCTAGGATTCTTATTGTTGTACTTCTTGTACTCTGGTTACCGGCGTTGGAGATACCGGGGGTTTTAGCCTGTGGTCCTGGTAGGGGTGGCGGAAGGCGACCAATACTGCGCAAACTCACCCCATTAGTTTTCAAACAGCATGTGCCAAATGTCAGTGAGAATACACTGCCAGCCAGTGGATTGCCAGAGGGACGGGTATCAAGGGATCACACGAGATTTCGCGATCTTGTTCCCAATTACAATGCCGATATCATTTTCAAGGATGAAGAGGGCACAGGAGCTGACAGGCTCATGACTCAGGTAAATACTTTTTTTCCTTATTTATTTTTTTTTTTCAGGGCTTTTAAAAGAATGGGAGGGGGACAAATTGTCTCTCACCGGTTTATACGCCTCGTTAACGTTTTATTCATTCTGCATTTATTGGTGTTTATACAACACTTTGCACCTTCGCTCTCTTAAATGCTACCGACGTTGTTGCGGCGCTTTTGTCAATTCAACATTCGTGGGTGGAGAGACGACGGGTTATGTCTGCGCAGGTTATTGTAATTTATTTATTTTCTCAAGAGAATTTCAGTGTTCTCTTCGCTATCTTCCTCCAATACCAAATTTACAAATGATGGTGAAAGTAATCTGCTGAAGTTTGGATAAGATGTTTGGGAATTTTTCATCTATCCATCGAGGAGGTGATTCTCTACTGAACCCTCTGACCGTCGGTTCCACACAAACATCTACATTCTTCATCACTATTGACTGTTATACTCTCTTATCTCATTGTCACAGACTAGCGAACCTTGACCGGATGCCGTTTCATTTGTTCAAACATTGAATTTTCATTTTTTTTTTAATTTCTCCAAGATATTATATGATTTTTCACTGTATGAAATCTCGCGTTGTGGCGTGGGGATCGATAATTAGGGGAAATTAATGTGGTTAACGAAAATGAGGGAAGTAAAAACAAAGGAAAAATAAAAATAAATAAACGTGCGCGCCACCTAAGTGATTGTGGGTAGGTTTATGGCAGCCATAACCAGTGTTTGGTTTGGCGCGTTAAAGCTACGCCAATTACGGCAAATAAAACTTAATGGTTTCCTTGTCCTTTAGTCTTTTTCATCATATGTTTTTTCTTTTCATCATTCCTGTGTCAACTCTGGCCCGAAGAAGCAGTCGTGGCAAATGCCGTAACGATTGCCAACTCCGAAAAGTGTAATTATGCGTTGCAACAAACTTTCAAGGCATTCAACTCCATCAAGTTGAGTTTATTAAAGAAATATTGAAAAATACTTGAAAACTCGGGTAGATTTCTCGGTAATTTCCGAGATCTTCGTAAATCTCTCGGCCGTCGGTTGTCGTCATGGTGTACACATTTCTCGAGTTTCTGTTAGTAGCAATAAACCTGGTGAACAGGTGCGGACGTCGTATTGGAATCAATTTCAAGCCATTGAGAGATACCGATTGAGAAAAATCCACGTCAATATCTCACTGAAACATTTCACCATCAATTGCCAGCGTTTATTGATGGAATTACCACCTAGCAAACTATATTTCTCCATTCAACTTCCATTCCTTCAATAAAAACCCGTGGAATAAAATCTGTCGCTGATCTTCTTCGCCTAGATTATGATTATAATCTTTAGCTTATTTTTTTTTAAATATACTAAATTGCGTTACAGGCGTCAAATCTTTCACAAGTTTTTTTGTCTGGTGATCATTTGATTGTCATTATGTCTTCATGTCAAATATTTCATTCCATCTCCATGAAATCATAAAATATTTTCGTCTGAAAAAGTCAGGATGACTTCTTCTTCAAAGAAAATAGTTTATATAATTCTTCTTCTAATTAATTGCCTTAAGCGCGAGGTATTTGCAGGCGAACTTTTCGTCAAATGAAAACGTCAGGTGCGTTCTAGAAATAATAAATTCAGGTTTCTTTGGGGGAGAATGCGGTGTTCTGAATGGAAGTGTCCTTACACATGAGAATCCTCGGAATATATTAGTTGTCATCGTAATGTTTTATGTCAATCATCGTTACAATACCGAGTACCACTTGACTTCTTTTTTCCAGAATCCAAAGTGATGCTTCACGCTCATCAAACATTCGTAATTGTTTACTAATTTCCATTTCATTATGGTGGAGTAGGGAGAGACACTGGTGAACTGATTTTCCTGGGAAAAAAGTAATGAGTCAATGTTTGTCGGAGCATTTTGTTACTTGTCGGAGATATTCGCGTCATGTACCTGGAAAATATCGGGGAACCACTCATTCTTCAGGTATTTGTCGATCTCTCGGGAATGGATTATCAGTTCTGGTGGCGGCTCGATAAGATTTTTTCCCGGGAAATCAGGGAGAAAAATCTTCTAAGAAGATTGAAAGAAAAATCGATCGAAGAAATTATTTTCAAGTGAAAATCGATATGGCTATCGTAATTAATTACTTGGAATTAATACGCGAAAAGATTAGAAGTAAATTGATAACTCGAAAATAGGAAAGGTCCATTTTTAATTCTGCGTATTTTTTTTTCCCGGGAAATCAGGGAGAAAAATCTTCTCAGAAGATTGAAAGAAAAATCGATTGAAGAAATTATTTTCGAGTGAAAATCAATATGGCTATCGTAATTAATTACTTGGAATTAATACGCGAAAAGATTAGAAGTAAATTGATGACTTGAAAATAGGAAAGGTCCATTTTTAATTCTGCATATTTTTTTTTAACGTTAACATATTTGGAAGGCAGTGAAGTCTTGGAAAAATTTAGGAAAGTTTCCCAAAAATTGAGGTCAGTCTTCGGATTTCCCAATATGTTCTTCACGGAACTCTCAAGTTGTCAATGACGATGTTCTCTCTGAAGATGAGGAAAACCGAAGTGATAATTAGTTTTCTCCGTACTGCCGACCTTCAACTTTTCCTGCAATTAAGATTCATCTCTAAAACAACTGCAATCAAATATGTAAATTATTGTACGCACTGATAGATCGAATCATTCATTCTCAAACGAGTTTTTGAGTGGACCCTGACTTTTCTTTATTTATAACAAATAGAACTTGAAGTATTCAGCGCGTTCGCAATTATCGATAGATTAATATAAATGAAGTGATCGTTTTTCGTTGAAATTGAATTCGAACTCATACAATCGAAAATTCAGATAACTGCATTGACTTTTCATTTTCTCACGTAATTATCCCACTTTGAACTACCCCAAATTGCTACTGGATATTTAGCAAGATTTGTGAGAATTTTCGCAAAAAAACACCCCATTATTTCCAAAAATCCTGCACATTCATTTCTCGCCTCGGACTCTCGAACCCCAGACTGACGTCACTTTCTTCATCCTTTGTCTCAGCGATGAGGGCCCGATCGATGTCCCATCGATTTCTTCCTTCGTTTTTTTTCTTCCTTTCATTCTCCTTTGTTACTCCAGCGTATCGAATGACCTAGAAGAGACAAGATGAGTTCTCGTCTCCGGTGGCATTGCCAACGATAACGAGACGATCCCCAGCTGGTGTCGATCGGCAATCTATTCTTTCATGAAATTTTCTTGTCCCATTCTTTAAACATTTTCATCTCGTCCCAGAATAGTTTCGTATCGCGTGGCGCCACGTGCGACGATCGAGTTTCTGCTCGTGTGACACTAACCGATCAAGACGGTGATATCTCTAAACAATTGCCCCAAGGATTTGCCACTCAGGAAATCACCGGTCGTACACTCTCAGAAAATTGCATTTGAAATTTCAATTTAAGGCCCGGGTGGACCATCTATCGAACGTCATTTTTTGTTTAAATTTGATCTTTTTAGCCTAAAATATATTTTAATTTATGATCAAATTTGTGTTGCGGGAAGCACTTGAATGGACATAAAAAAATAATGAAAAAAAGGAGGTTAAATTATTGAAGGGCGCTAAAGAGCGATTATTGTTTCATTTGATTTTTGGATGATTCAAAGTCAGAGAAATCGGCTTCACATTTTAACGAAGAAATCACAGAAATTATTGAAGATATCAGTCGATTCTTGGAATGAATGGATCTCTCTCGATTAAGAAGTGAAAAAAATTTCGCAATTGCTAGAGTAACACTTGATAAAACTTTCCGTTACTAACCTATATCAAATGAGAGGTGATGAGAATCAGAATCAGAATCAGAATCAGAATGAGAATCAGACAAGTCTGTTCGGGTGAAGGCATTACACATGGAGTTGAGCAAATGAGGTATTTATAGATCTGCGGATAGAGGGAGATTCTCATGTTTACTGTTATTATTTTATGGGGTTCTTTATGTGTAGATGATGGGGGCAGTTGCGATGAAAATCGTCGTTAAAGTTTTATAATGGGAATAGGAATTGTAGGCACTCCAGTGGTTATGGGGAGGAAGTTCATATTAGTCACGTTTAGGTGGGTTTGTAATGATGTGATGAAATGCCATCATCATTTTAATTATTTATTGGGGTTTTTCTAGGTATTTGCCATGGGTACACACGGGGAAAAAAGACGGAAAGAGGTAGCTAATGTGATTTTTTTTTTAACTTACGAGCTACTCTTCAATTTAAATCATTTGCTTAATCGATTGTTTAGTAACTGACAAAGAAACTTGATGAAAATTCATCATTTTGTGTCAAAAGGTATTTTATGGAAATTTCTTGTTGGGTTGTCGATTTTTTTTAGTATATTATAGAATTGAATTTATTGCACTCGTCGTTTTTGAATATGGAAACCAATTTAATGTGAAATTATCTTAATTAACAAATGGAGAGTGCATAGTTAATTACAGATCATTTGATTTTACGATTTTCTGCTCATCTCTAAGAAATTTTTAATAAAAAATTTATCATTTTACAGAAGAGTCGATGAGATTTTCATTCTTCGTTAATTTCAGAGAATGAATTCCTTAAAAATGGAAAACATTGATAAAATTCGCCACAATTGTTTATGGGGATTGTAAAATATGGCCAGGTTAAATAATGCTCAGTTTATTTACAAAATAAGGAACATAAATTATATATCCACAGACTAATTCATACAAGACAGAGATTGCCGCGTTACAGGAAAGCGATTGTAATCCAAATCCAAAATTTCCAAAAATTTGACTGAGGAAAACTAAAATCAGAGCGAATTCGAGCCCGAAAATTGTCTATGTCAAAATTGTAAATATTAACAAAGATATTTTTCATTCCCGAAAATCCGTAATATCTTGAATTTCCCTCCAATCATCAAGAAATGCGTGCGAAATGGAAAAAAAAAATTCTCCCATAAACCTTTCGTTTCTAATTATAGAAAGCAATTTAATCTGAAATTATCCTCATTACCCAGCGA